GAGTTTGTGTAAGTTATACTTTACCCTTCCAGAAAATGTCCAAACCTCAAACACCACCAAATGTATTGGACCAATACATTTCAATGAGGAAAAATAAAAAAATCATCAAAAATGAACGAAGATTCAGAACAACACCAAATTAAGTTTGCATGCCTTTCACAAGCTGGACTATCAATGCCAAGCATTTAAAACAGTTTCCTAACAGTTTAAGACACTTTTAAATGAGGGAAAAGGGACATTCTGTGTGAGGCAGCAAATTGATCAGAAAAAGACATCGTTATGTGAATTCATCGTTGTGTGAGGCACTCGTTGTGCGAGGCACCACTGTATGCTCACAAATCCTGGACCCAGTTTTTAACATCCGCAACTATCAGGTGCCATAGTGTCTTTCGACAGCCAGGATTTAAACTTGAAAGCAAATCAATGTTTCAGGGGAAAATAGCTCACAAAAGTATTTCATCGCGTCTCTTTCAGATTCAGGACTGGCAAAGCATATACCAGTCCACCCGCATCCCAATACCAAAATTTGCACCCGTGGATGAATCGGTAACATTTATTGGGCGTCTCTGTCGAGAAATTCTGAGGATTACAGATCCCAAGTGAGTGTTGTATCTGACCTGCCAATTCTCACATACATTGGGGCATTTCTAGAAGCTTAACACTAGCATTAATAGGTCATTACTAAGTTTGTAACAAAAAAGGCACAACACACACATTGGCAAGTGGTGAAACTCATAAACTTTTTTTAAATAAGCCTGTCCCACAGATTGTTTTCTAGATCTTCATGTCTGCCTTTTCCACAACTGAACCTTTTTGGGTTTTTAGTTCATTGTTTTCCTGAATTGATTCCAACCAGTTAGGAACCTTGCAACATTTCCTCTAATTTTCAGCCCTGCTGTGCAGGATCCTCACCCCGTGCATGCATTGGGGGGGTCATCCAGAACTGGAAATAAATGCATGTCAACACTGGCTGCTGATGCGCTGCCCTGACAGAGCTCTGCCCGTGTGCAACTTAGAGGGAATTTTGGAACCCAGTAACCATTATTATTACATTTTCTCCTTAACATAGCAAATCAAATTGCATCGTGTCATCAAAAAACCAAATTGAAGTACAGTAAATGTGCTCCTCTTCATTTTCTCTCTAAATGGGAGAATCTTTTCACATTTTATGGCCACTCCATCTCCTGGAGATAGAATGTGTGAAATACTGAGGGTTTTTTAAAATGTCAGTCACACTAGAGTAACCAGTGTGTCACCTCCATTGATTCAAATAGCCCTTCTCTAGTTTCAACTCACTATGCTAAGAAACGGGATTTCGGCCAATTAAGTTTCATAGGAGAAGGTGCATTTGTTAACTATAGATATGACGGCTCAGCTTGGCTACTTGATTTTTGTTCCAACTTGATTTGGGCCTGGGCTTTTCAACCCTACTTTGTTCTGTTATCAAAGTATGCTTGTTCACCCTTTCCTTAGTAAGTCTGCCTGTGGCCCTGCTACGCTCTCACTGGTGTCTGTTTTCTTTCTACGTTATTGACTGCTAGGATTGCATGTTACATTGACCAGCTCAATACCTGGTACGATATGAAGACTCGCCAAGAGGTCACCAACAGCCGCCTGTTTTCTGAGATTCAGGGTGCTTTAGGCACTTTCGGCCTGAACGGTTTGGACAGGCTGCTTTGCTTCATGATTGTGAAAGAGCTACAGGTAAGTAGTGTTTGTAACGCAGGAATGGGCAAATGAGATTGACCAGTAGGTCACTGTATGATTTGGCAAGAGGCCACCAAGGATGGTTTTTGATTCCCAAGCATCTAAAGTTACAGGAACTAGGAAATTACTTCCCTCATCTCAATTTCTGAAGAAGACCTAGGGGGAAAACCCAGGAGTAGATGTTTATGTGGAAAGGTGGGTATTACAGATATCCCTACAAGGCAATTGAACCTTGTTCTGAAGGTAAATCACATTCAGTTTCAAAACATGGCACATCCTTACCACACTCCTTCTTTAAAGATACCGGATACCATATTTTCCTGGAAATTTAGCCGTCGGGGCTGCATACCTGGGCAGGGGAATAGCCTACAGCCAACATGCCGTGTGTTGCCCATTTAGGCTTTAAATCATCGGTTCTCAGTCTAAGACAACAACACACACACACTATAAAATGTGAAGACATTGGGGGGGTTATTTTATTTAAATAATTAAAAAACAGAAAACAAAAGAAAATATATAACAATCCAAAGAATGCAAACTTATTTATCAGATCCTTTAAAACTTAATATCAAAAGTTAACTTATCATTAATAGTTATATCCCATTCTTCTTTGTACCAATCACTTAACTGAAAAGCATGCTTTACTTCTCAAGTCTTACTATCATTAATCTTGCCACAGTTAATAAATTTGTTATTAGTGATTTTGCTGTCCAATCCCATTGCTCTCTGTCAAGTTTTTGATAAAATTGCTATCCTAGGAAATAACATCTACCTTTAGCTTTAGTAGCTAGCTTAAACAAATTTCTGTGATCGATTCTGTTAGCAGAATTAGAGTTTCTCAAAAAAATCAATTTGGGCTTATTTGTAATAATATTCAATGTTTGTGTTTATTTTTAAATTTAAATTATGAAGTGGATTTTGAATAAGCTAGACTGAAGGATGGTGAAGAGGGGATGGGAAGGTAGGAAAGATTATCACATGGGATTCAGAAGTATTCAGGAGATTCAGAAGTGTTCAGGAGATACTGGTCTAAGTTATCAAGCTGTAGAACTGTGTTCCCCAACCGTGTGTGTGTGTTGCAAAGTGTTTTCTTGCTGATGTTTTCCTTCCCTCTCTTCTTCTGTTGTTCGCCTTCCATCTTGTACTTGTTTATTATGTAATAATTCTTTTTATATTTATCTGTATTTCAGGGGTCAGGGAACTTTTTTACCTTTTCAAAATCTTACTGAAATCTTATTGAATCTATTCAAAATTACTTTGAAAGCTTCAACTGGCTTGAAAACTTCAGGTTTTCAAGAAATGATATTGCTTCATCTTGGATATGAGAGCATCAATATTGGGGCTCTGCTCATCCTCATTATCCCTAGGATTTTCATTTTTACCCCATTTGGGGTAATCTACCCCTGTTCCCTGGCCACTGGTGTATTTTATGTTGTAAGCCGCCTAGAGTGGTCGTAACTGATCAGATAGGTGGGATATAAATAAAATAAAATAATAAATAAATAAAATATTTTGTGGTGGGGGATTGTGGGTTGCCTTATATGTGTTGTAGCCCTTGTTAAATAATTTCTTTCACAGCAAGATACTGTACTAAAGTTATTGTCTATGTAAGAGAAAGAGAGCCTTCGGGGGAGAAAGAAGGTTCTACTTTCTGAGAATGGATTACTTTACCCCAATAAAAATAACAGTGGTGGGGGAGTCACATGTTACTTGGCTATTATAAAACAGGGTTGTGACTCAAAAAAAGGTTGGAAACTACACCTATAGAGGCTCTTTCTAGAACATGATTTTCATTTATCTGTGCCACAAACCTGTTGCGTCAGGACACCATTATACCCATTTTACAGACTGCAGAACTAAGGTCTCTCCAGGAGAAACAGGAGAAGGAATTTCTGCTTGCACCCTGCTTTTACTGTTAATATATTTTGCTGTGCTCTGCCCTGTTCACTGCTATGCAAGGGAGCATCCAGTACAAGATCAGTCCGTTGTGCCAAAAGTGTGTTCAGCTCACACGTTGCTGTTGGTTTTTTTTTTTTTTTAAGAATTTCCTCAGCATGCTTCAGAAGACAGTCCTGCGTGATAAAGGAGTACACGAGGCCCTGAAATCTCTCATGAAATCTGTCAGCCCTCTGAAAGGAATTGTGGGTAAGATCCTTCAAGGAGATGACCAGGCTGAAAGTGAGATACTCAGGTCAGGAGTCAACCACCTTCGAAGCTCTTGTGTTTGTGCAAGCTACTGCTGGAAAAGCAATAACAAGAGTTCAAAGAGGGAAGTGTTAGTTCTTACAGCTATGGGTAAAAACCTGTTTCCAGCCAAGGGTCAAATTTCCTCAGGAGTAAATTGCCCAGGGCTGCTTGGTGGGCAGTGTGTAGAGCTGAAGCCAACAATGGATTAAATCTCAGCAATAACACCTAACCCCTTTTCTCTCTCTTTCTTTGTCTGCTCCCCTTCTTTCTCTCTGTCTCTCCTTCTGCTCTTCACAAGGTTCTGGGGAGAGACAAGATCTCTTTTTTCAAAAGGTCCCTATTGATCACCTGTAACAGTGATTTTGAAATAAGGCTGCAGGCTGCCCACTAATTTTTTATAGATTTTAACACCCAGGCATGCAGTGCTTCCCATCTTTAACCACAATGGGGTGCTTATGTTTTCCAAACAGAAATTATTTCTGCGTAGAAAAGGCATCCCTAAGATTCATTCTGAGCAGCATGAAACTGATAGAGGGTCACCTTACATCATAGCTTTCAAGGCTCCCGTTCAAGAACTTCATTACTTTCCGATGATTTTCTTCCCTGCAGCCAATTCGGTCATATTTTTTATTTATTTTATTTATTGGACTTATATACCGCCCCATAGCGCTACAAGGACTCTCCGGGCAGTTTACAATTTAATTATACAGGCTACACATTGCCCCCCCAGCAAGCTGGGTACTCATTTTACCGACCTCGGAAGGATGGAAGGCTGAGTCAACCTTGAGCCGCTACCTGGGATTTGAACCCCAGGTCGTGAGCACAGTTTTAGCTGCAGTACAGCGTTTTAACCACTGCGCCACAAGGTTCATTAATTAATAATGTTATTAATTCTTCTTTAGTATTTGAATAATTCACTGTTTTTAGCTTTTAATATTGTGTTTTTCATGATGTAAGCTGCCTTGGGTCCTTTTTTTAGGAGAAATTTTTTCCCATCTGATATTTAAATGCCATTTCCTGATGGTGATTCTTTTGGATGGAAAAAACCCATGATGGATGTCTTACAACCAGCTGCAGCAGGCAAAACTTGTATTTTCAGCTGAAAGACAAGCAACCTAATAGGATAGCATGAAAGATTGTTCTGTGATCATGGACAACATCTTGTGACAATGTCAGCTATCACAAACTAACTATATTTCATCCAACTCTCTGCCGGTCCT